GGGTTGCAGGCCGGGGTATTGTGATATCTGTTCATTATATCTTCCTTTTTATTCTTGTCTTTATTTTTCTATTCTCTTTTTCTTTTCCTTTTTCCTTTTCTTTTCTTTCCCCTTCTTTCTCTTTCCCTCCCTCTCCCGCTTTCTTTTTTCTTCTTACATCCCGGTACGACGGCTTGGTCAGTCCGGTAAAAACCGTCAGTGGGGGGGGGACAGTCTGCCCACCTGCCCCCGCCTGTTACGCCACTGCTTATAAGATGAATGTGAATATGAATCATGCAGATCTGGAATCAAATCTAGGTGGTGGGGTCAACATTCCTCTCCCGGGAAAATTTCTAGATGGCAGGAAATGAGCTTTCCCGACTTCTGACGTGTCTTTAATTACTTTTAAGTTCTTCAAAATTCAAGGTCTTCCCATCTTGAAAACGGTCAGGTAATTTTTTCCCATTGTTATTACAGTAAATAGGGCTTATGTGTGTATACATACATAACAATTTAAAAAAAATGAGTAGTTGCATACGAATTTTCTATGAATCGATGAATCCCAAAAAGAAAGGGGGTCCGGGGGTTCTTCCACAGGAAAATTTTGATTCCTAGAAGGCGGGAAATGAGCTTCCCCGACTTCTGAGGTGTCTTTTAAATTAAAGTCATTAAAAAATACTTCAGAAGTCGGGAAATCTCATTGTCCACCATTTAAGAAATCAACATTTTCACAGGAAGAACTCGAACCTCCCTTTCTCTGGGTTCATTTATTCATTATAATAATTTTCAAGAGGGGAACACCTTGAGTTTTGAAGAACTTAAAAGTAATTAAGTTCTTCAAAATTCAAGGTTTACCACTCTTGAAAACTTTCAGATAATTTTTGCCCATTGTTAATACAGTAAATACGCCTTATGTGTGTATACATACATAAAAGATTGAGTAAGTTGCATACGTAGTTTTTCCATGAATCGATAAATTCCAAAAAGAAAGGGTGGGGTGGGGGGAGGTCTGTGGTTCTTTCCCGGGAAAATTTTAATTTCTAGGTGGCGGGAAATGAGCCGACTTCTGTGGTGTCTTTTAATGACTTTTAAATTCTTCAAAATTCAAGGTCCCCACCCCCAACCTGTCTTTGGAAATGATTCAATTAATCAATGAACTCCAAAGATAAAGGGGTCCGGGTTCCCCC